CGCAGGTTGCTGGAGAGATGTTAAACCAAACAACAGGCGACCGTTTACGTCACGAAATATGGGATAACATGACGCACGACAACGTATCATTACGCACAATCATTTTCAGACGCTGATTACGGCACAACACACGTGGCTGTTTTGGCGCCAAATGGCGACGCGGTTTCTGTAACAACCACGATCAACAGGAGGTAGGTTTGGAATTTCTTGTTAGTTATAAAAAAAATAATAAATCAAGATTTTCTACTATTTAGCTAGAGGTCAGGAGCCCATCACTAGGAGCATGCAACTCCCATACTAAGCCTATGTCACGGAATTTTTACAGACCGGTCTATTTTTAGGCTTCCTTTCCCGCGAAATTGGTCAGTTCCGGTCTACATGAACTCGCATCGGTAAGGAAACAACTGGCAGCCTAAGATGGACATCTCGATATAATAAATACGCTAATTAAAAATTAAGTCCGTGCTTGTGATTGGTCACTGAGGTTCTTGCGGGGGGTCTGAATTCGTAGTAAATTGAAACTAAAAATAGATCGGTCTGTGAAAAGGCCGTGACAGTAATCTTTAATCTTTAATATTTAATATTTAATCATCATTTATACACGGTAAAAATTCATCAGGTACAATAAATCCAATAAAACATCTAAGATCCTAAACCTGAAATTCTCATCCTAATGTTATCTTAACTTACAACAATATTCTACTTATAAACCTGATTCCCATGAATGCTGTGTGTTTAAAAATTGTGATAGAGAAAGCGTTTAAATCGATTTAATGAACCAAATTCTCCTATGTTACAGGGTAAGCTATTCCAAAGGGTTGCGCCTCTGTAACTAAAACTATTTGGGGTAGCTGCACGCCCCTAGTGATGGGCTTCTGCTAAAGGTGCATTATGGTGTCGTTTGGTAATATATGTCCAACAGTAGCAATTAAATAATGACAGAATGAAAGATGCGAATGCAGCCATAACACTACTGGAAAAATAACCTGAAAAAATTTCAGGCTCTGAACGGGATTCGAACCCACGACCTTTGCGTTACCGGTGCAATGCTCTACTAACTGAGCTATCAAAGCCACAATAGAGCGGTCGTGTGTGGGTTCAGCCCTATATGTTCACTGGACGTACTCGGCTCAAGTATATGAATTCCACGGTAATAGATGTCCAACAGTAGCAATTCAATAATGAAAAAATGAAAGATGCGAATGCAGCCATAACACTAATCCCGTTCAGAGCCTGAAATTTTTTCAGGTCATTTTTCCAGTAGTATTATGGCTGCATTCGCATCTTTCATTCATGGTGTCGTTTTGTCTAATACTCGAAGGAGCACTCAAAACCTACCAAATATATACTTTTTAGTCTTTAACTTAACGTGAGTTCTCGGAAAGTTGACATAACAGCATGACATCATCACCAACACAACGTTGCCAAGCAAACCCTCCTGATGTCATTCACAGGCTCGATCATGATTTTGGACAAACCGGTTTCGGTGCACAGCCTGTTAACTGACGGTTTCATTAAAAATCAGTTACCACATGACTGACGTTCATTCTCAACGTTGTTTTTGACAGATTTGGATCCAAATATCGATCTAACGTCACAGGAATCATCTACAATGATGATTTTGACATTCCCGGTCACAACATAGTGGACGGTATTTCTCCATCTCCTTTTAACTTTCCCGAGCCAAACAAGCGACCTTTCTCGTCCACATCTCCCGCCATTTGGACCAATGATGACGGCAGAGTGCAGCTTGTTATCGACGCCTGGTATGTTTAATGCCATCATATTTCGAGCAAGAGAAAATGAAGGGTACCATAGTTCATCCGCCATACAGGACTAATTTCCAAGTTTATCACTCTCAGGTTATTTTAAGATCAATTCTGATTTTTCAAATCGCAGAAAGGTCCAGGGATAGTTAATCATTTGACACGAATTTTTTCACGGGGACAGCCCGAGCGACTTAAAAACACGACTTCAGTTACACGTAATTCCATCGTGCAAGAAACATTTGCGCAACGCTCGTCGCAACATTATAGCGGGAGTACTAAATACCATCTCTAAAATAACTTGCCAGGGATTACCTTTAGAATCAGACTTTAATGGAAAAATAACTATCTTACCCTTTATCCACTCCTGATTTGAAACCCATAACTCTGAAGATACAAGAACAAACGCTCTAGAACACAAATGTGATTGGTGTTTTACATTAACCGTGAAATCGTCGTTATAAGGCTCGGGCCAATTCATGTTTGTATACAGAAGGCTCTCAGCTTGTACTTAGTTCTCTGTCTGTGTTCAGCGGATAACAGTCTTGTTCACATGCGCAGGTGTTAATGAACAAGCTGTGGTTTGAACAATCCTTATCTGACGCTGTGGACAAGCCTCGACTGCATACTCAACCGGTGCCCGATCAGGATGTATCGTATGAAAAAATACCTTTTGGTAGTTCTAGTAAATATCGCATGTCATGCGAAATATTGGATGGTTTGGAAAAACGAGGGCACGACGTAACAGGCGTGGAATTCTTTGCCACGGTGCAGGCGCGCAGTATTCCGAGACCCTGAAAAGGGTGTATTCGCCAAGTCAGACCAGAGGAAACATGGCGCGCCCGCAGGGCAATGGGGCACTTGTCCAGATGCCGATCCCGACAACTCTTGTAATATGATGACATTCACACTAGTATTGAAGAGTGACCAAAACACTATATTAGCTAGCAAAATTAGAGTTACAGCTTTTGATACGTGAAACTTGTTCTGAAAACTTAAAAGTCATCAGCAAAAAAAATTATTAACTCTAGAAACTAGCCAGACCTTTTAAGGAATTTGAACAAACGAGATGCTTAAGGACGTTCGCGCTAATTGTAACTGCGGATCCTTACTGCGCACGCAATTCACACGCCACCTCATGCGGTGGAGCGCGCGCTAAGTAATAAAATGAATAATGGTAGGGTAGATGGCCATTGCTATAGCTTTGCCTGGATTTAACGATCTTGGACGTTCGGTGACCCCTATTTTTCTTTTGATGGATCATTTTCTCTACCGATTTTTCACGTTTAGCGAAAAACTGAAGAAAATCTATCGACTAGAAGCTTTAATTTTTTGCAAGATGCACCATTGATTCCATTCTTTTTAACTCTTCGTTTATCTGTGCGACGGTTTGAAATGCCTCTTGAAGGGTTAAGTTTTGTGAAAACGCTGGTAACATTTAGAATTATTTACTTAACAGACCCACTTCTACAAAATATGACTAAGATCGTTTGCCTCTGTTGACTCACCCGTCTTCGATATTTTTAACTGTAAACCCCTGTAGACCATGCTGAATGACGTGCACCAATACTTCAAAATCAGGGTAGTTTGCAAAAAATTTCGCGCGAACGGCCTGAAAAGCGTCTTCAGTGTTTGTTCAAACTCAGGGCCAGTTTGTAACTCTTTCCTACCCTAATTTCTTGTAGTTAATGAACGATATTAACGCATGATTCTGTGATGAATGAAAAACGTTCATGCTGTGCATTTCTGCATTTCTTCTTGCTTTTCATATCGACTCCATTGTTGAAATATGTTCACTTAATCTCATTCCCAGTTTTTTTAGGGTGGGTTTTACCCCCAAGAGGGCTGAGAACAGGATTATGGTTTGCATTCTTCGACTCTGCTTAGCATTGGTAAATGTCTTTGCTTAGAAATAAGGATGTACGTGTTGTAGATAGAATAAATAGAATGTTATCAGAAGTGTTTCCTGTAAGTGTTGGTTCCAACTAAAACTTCAATGTATGCAAGAAAAACCACGCACACATCTTTACATTGAAAAATAATAAAAAAAAAATAATGAGATAAATAAAGTCTGGACTCCCAACTCCCGCCTTTTCCGTCCTGTTCCCGTACCCTGTAAATCAGGAGTATCAAAATATATCCTTGCTATTTAGCTGTGCAATTCTTAGGCGGGAGCAAGACTGTTTTTCAGCCCAAGCAGAAATTTTCGTTTGCTTGTTTGTTCAGAAGTCTCACAGACGATTAATACAATTCATGAAATAGTATTTTGGGTTCTTGTCTTTGAAACATTCTAACGCATGAATATAGGACGAAACTTAACATTTTTCGTTTCTCCCTTACTTCCCGTCGTCTTAAAACTCCCGCTTCCCGTATTTTCTCTCCCGTTTATCGTATCTCTTCCCCACTCCCTCCCCACCCCCACATATCAAGAAGTTTTCTCTTCCTTTTGAGAGCGAACAGCAAAATTCCAAGAGAATTTTGGCTGCTGTCTTCAGCTTGTAAACCTCCCCTGTGAACAAGTATTACGACAAATATTTGAAAATATCGAAACAATTTATTGACATTTCTCCACCTAGCATTTTCAGTCTTGCAAGACAGCGTGTATCTGTCTTTAGCAAGTAAATAGTGACACGCTAATGTCACACAACATACACTACTGCTTAGTTACAACAAATTCAGAATTAAAATGATCTTTATCTAAACTTAGTTCAACCATACCTACCATTTATACAGTTGAGTCATTTCTGAAACCAGTAATCTATACTGTCTATAGTAACGAGAATTATTGGAAACTATTGTCACGCAATTTGCTTGTGTTACAAAACATATCCAATAAATAAATTACAGAAAATTCAACGATATAATGTCTGCTAAATAAAGTTTGATCATAATTCATTTAAAGCGCAAAAGTAATTTTGGGAAACTGATATTTACAACAACTCAGCCTACGAGTTATTCCGACGAGGAAATATAACGGTTCAGAACTCTTGACATTTAAATCTTAAGCAATTCAGACATCTCAGTTTCCAGTCTCTTTCCCTTGAAGCAAGGCGTATGTTACACGAAGAAGCTATTGGTTGTAATTTTTCAGTTGGCTTCCATATACAGACCACCATTTATGTGGCCTCGAATAAACGCCTTAATGTTGACAAATAGTTCAAAATAATGTTCTAAATTTTCACTGATAGCAATGAGGGAACTGATTCATATCACATCACAAGTAAGTTGATGCATCTATTCAATAATCTGAATGCGATGGTTCCAGAAGTCCGTCACAGCTATCCTACCATCACTAAGAACTGCCGTAGACCCTGGGAGATTGAACTCTCCAATCCCACTGCCTTTTGTTCCAAACTTTGTTCCAAACTTTGTCCCAAACTTCCCATTCAGTTCAAACACCTGAACTCTGTGATTCCATGAATCACAGACCATCAGGTGTCCTGCCTTGTTGACTGATAAGGAATCAGGTGCATTAAACTCCCCCTCGCCCCTCCCCTTCTTTCCAAATTTGTACAAAAAACTCCCCTCCCTATCGTGAACTTTGACACAGTGTTCATCCCTGTCTGACACAATAAGATATTTGTCGTGTTGGACACAGTGAATGGGAAAGGTGAAAGAACCCTTCCCGCCAACTTTACGTAAAAACTGACCACTAGGAGAAAATATCTTGATTAGTTTGCTACCTGAATCAGCAACAATAATATTGCCGTCATTGTCTAGAGATACACCGTTAGGATGTTTAAGCTGGTGATCAAGAATACCTTGTTCACCAAACTGGCTGAGGAACTCACCCTGCTCACTAAAAACTTGGACTCGGTGGTTAAAACTGTCAACCACTACAACATGGCCATTCCTATCAAAAGCTATCCCGCGAGGAAAGTTAAATTCTCCCTGTTTATCACCCTTTGAACCAAACGATCTTAAGTAAGTTCCATCGCTACGGAATACTTGAATCCTATTGTTGTCATTGTCAGTCACTGCAATTTCATCACGTTCATTCACTGCCACTCCCCAAGGGCGGGTAAGCATTCCAACAGCCGAGCCTTGTTGTCCAAACGATAGCACGGGTCTCAACTGTCTGAGTTTGACGTTAACAGCAAAGGGGCTGCCATAAACATGATCTTCATTTACTTTCACTGACAAGTCACGTTTCCCGGTTTCTTTAGCGAAGTAACTGATGTTGTAGCTTCCATCTTTGTTGTCTTGGATTCGCGCTTTCGTCGCGCAGTCCTGTCCTTGCTGATTTCTGATTTCCACTGTTACGCAGTCACGCCCGTCATAACATTGTTCTCCTTCGGTATTTCTTGTTGTCAAACCAAACTGCGCTTGGAGACCGACAATTGCTTCACGCATTCCTTTTCCTTGAGCACCTGACTGATGCGGACTAGTTTTGCTGAAAAATGTTTTGAAAGCGCCAATTCCTTCAGTGATAGTTTTCGCAATCAATGTTTCGTTTTCTACGAAAATGAATCGACGAAAGCCTTCAAGGTCACAGTCGACTTGCTCTTCTTCATCGCTGACTTCCACCTCAAAGATTGTATTCAATGACTTGTCCATCTGTACAATCCCAGCGCTTGTGTTTAGCTTTACAAGAGTTTCAGTTTTTTCTATCTGTCTATCAATTAGCTTTATTTGCTCACGCAGATTTCGTTGTTCAGTTCGCTCACGCTCGCGAGATTCTTTTACTTGTGTCTCCACTTCGTTCAATAATTCCTTCTTCTTCGCTTCTATTACTGCCATCAATTTTTCAAAAAATCTGTTTACGTTTAGTTTCACGGTAGCAGCTCGTCTTTCAATGTGAGCGCAGTTTTGTTCAAGTTTAAGGATTTTGTTTCTCTTTTGTTGAGCTTTCTGCTTTTGCAATTCAATCGCTGACTTCACTTGTGACTTTCGTTCATTGGCAGCTTCCTCCAAATGTATTTTGGCATGACCCTCGTGAAGAATGGCAACACAGGAATTGCAAATGGCAACTTCACAGTCCTTGCAGAAGAACTTCAACTCTTCTTTTTCATGGTGTTTCTCCTGGCAAAATGCTGGTCGTTTTAACACTTCCTCGATGTCTTGATCTTGAAAGTCTGTAAGCGCCAACACACGGTGTTCTTTGTTAACTCGAATTATGTTGTGCCCGGTGATACAGTCGTCACACCA